TACTAGGACATAAATTAAAACAACTTAGATACATGGCGATGGTCTTCTTTCTACTTACTAACTTACTATAGAGTTTTATGAGAACATTTTTAAAATATGCAGGAGCTTTTTCATGTTTTATTTAAATATTTAATTCTTATTAATCCACAAACCCCATAAAATAATGGACAATAGGGTGTTTACAAAATAACAAACATTCCTAGTAAAAACTTAGTAAATAATGTTGGTCCTTCATACGCCAAACAAAAAGGTACAACTCACAATGCTGCTTAAATTACAGTTCAAAAGTCATTGCAATGTTTGCGATTTAATCTATAAAGTGTCATTTTTACTCCCACTGTACATATTATTAAGGGCTTTGACATGCTAATGGGTATGTGTTAGTTTGCTGATAAGTGTATTTAGATCTTACACAGCTGCTTTAAATGTCTGAGGAGAGGATACTGTTTGCTTATATAACTGTCCAGTATTAATTGGTCTGGTAATAGCATAATACCCCCTAGCACAGTATCTGATTACTTTGTTACATCATTACTTAGTAACGAGAGACAATATGTTATTTAAAGAGTATTACACGTTTTTATTAAACTAATAAGATATATACTAGTGTACTTGTTGCTCGAAATCGAGCAATTGTCAAGTACCGGTATTATACAGAAGTTATTTTAAAACTACAGTAATAACAGTCATAATTTTCGATGAGTTTTAAGATCCGACTAAAAGCTTATAATTTTCGATGAGTTTAAAAGATCCGACTAAAAGCTTATGTAACTAATTAAAATACTCACGCTATAATAGCGCTTTGAAATAATAAACGCGCCTTGTAAAAATATTTTAGCATTTTTTAGACCCGGCTTATTTTTTGTGTTTTCTACAAATGTTTCCCGACTTAAAACGGTTACCAGTAAACATTTCTTGCATGTATTTATTTGATCTGACATTAGGTAGGTTTACTTTACCACTGTGACAACATGATGTGTAAATTCTTCGTTGTTTTTTTTTTACTTCCAGAATAAGTTGCTTGGCATAAATGGCAAAACTGATTCGTCTCTCCAAGTGATTGTGTACCTGGGTTCCTTACTGTGAGACCAGGCCTCTCTTCTACTCTTCTCATAAGTATAAGATTTCCTATTAATTGTCTCCTCCTCCTGTTTTCAATATTTCTCCTTTAAACTCAAGAAATTTTCTGTTCTTCCAACAAAACTGATTAACTGTTTAGATTAGTCTATAACCTCCTAAACAAACATGTTTCCCAAAAAGCTACTCCCAAAAATATTTACTCCCAAAAAGCTGGTCAGTTTCTTTTTATGTACAGCTGTTTTTGTTTTTAAATTTGTTCAATGTAATTCTTATGGGGAAATGCGACCTTTGAAGGCGTCTCCGCCTTTAGGGTAAGAGTTCTTAAATTCTAAAACCTTAATGCAAAACTACGAATTGAGACGAATCATTTGACACCTCAAACGTTAAAATCGGTCCAGAAATAACGGAGGAGATTTGTTCACAAAAAATAGCCCTCACGTATATTAATATAAGAGATACTTTCATTTATATCACCTTATTCAAGAACTGGATAGTTAATTCTTTAGAAGAAGATGTATAGTGTTCATAATGGGATGTGACAAACTTCAGGGGCTGATAGTACTAATCAATCTAAACAAAAAAGTTCATATAAACATGGGCCGAAAAAAATCGTTTAGCCGCCATTTTCTATTTTTTACAAAACAGTCTCAATAATTATTCAAGCTACGTGAACCAAACTTTGCACATATATTTATTGTGATAAGAGGCAAATTTAAATTACTAAAATATAGCTGATTTTATGAAAAATTTCAAGAACACTTTTATTTAGCATTTGTAATTCCATATCTAACAATACCAAGTTCAAAAAAATTTAATAAAAAATCATTTAAATGTTATGATTTTTTAGTGTAAAATGAGGCAAACCTGACTATCTTAGCCTTATTCTACACCATTTTACTAAAAAAAATCGTGATATTTCAGTTATTTTTTTATTTGATCTGTTTTAACTTGTTATTGTTTGATAGGGAACTCAAAATGCTAAATAAAAGGTGTTCTTGACATTTTTCCATAAAATCATCCATATTTGGGTAATTTAAGTTTAAAGTTTTTAAATGGCCGCCATTTTGTTAATGTAAAAGAAAATAATGTCATTTTTAGCGAATTTCCCTATAGGGAAGTAGCTATTACCATAGGTGGCACGGTAAGACCTAGACCCGGGACCAATTTACTTTTTCATTTTGATGTCCCCAGAGGCCAAAAACACCATTCGTTCAAATTTTTATATATGTATATATATATATATATATATATAGACTTATATATATATATATAGACTTATATATATATATACGTCCGTAAACGCGATAACTTGAGTAATTTTTGTCCGATTTTGATGAAATTTGGTTTAAAGGTGTAAAGCGGGATAAACTTGAATGAGTTCGCGAACCAGCACGATCGGACCATGGGAACGGGGCTTTACGGGGGGTTTTATGGGGTAAAAATTGGTTTTTCTCACTTTTGACCCTCAAAACACAAAATTTCCCGATTTCTCTTTAGACCTTTTTAAAGAGCTTAAAAAAACAAATAATTTAGTATATAAAAGTATTTTTGTTCGATTATTAGTAACGGAGAAAATTAAAAAAATTGTAAATTTAAAATTCCCATGTTATTCTTATGGAGAATATTGTCATATGTTGTAGTTTACTTGTTTATGGATATATTTTTATCAAACTTGGCAAATTTATTTATTTTGTAATAAGCTATCAATATTTTACTCAAAAACACACTTTATTAGTTTCCTTGTAGCAGCAAACCTAGGTACTCGTTAAACCTAATGTTATTAAAATATATTTAACTGAAAATCAATTCAGACAAATGGGAATTCGCTTAGTCGGCAGGTTTGCTGCGGCGGGGGTATTTTAATTACCTCTTGACACAATAACCGTATGTGCAAAGTATGGTTTCTGAAGCTTGAATAGTTCTTGAGCAATAGATTTATTTGTAAAAAAATAAAAAAATAGTGGCTAGTGGCTAAACAGCATTTCTTTTATTTACTTTCAGAAAATCTTTTTGACCTGTGTTCATGTGAACTTTTTTAAGATTGATTAGTACTATCTGCCGCTGAAGTTTGTGACACCCCTTTATGAACACCCTGTATATATCTATTTCAACCACTGTTTGCCAACCTTCCACATAGTAATTGTTTGAAAATTTAAAAACATTTCTGTCAAAACTGCTTAGTCTTATTTATGAAACCAAAGAAAAAGTATTTGTTAAAAGATTATACGTCTTAAAATATAAGTAAGGATTATCTTGTGTTTTTTATTATAAGAGCTAGATGCAACATAACCATAAACAATAAAATGTGAACGGCAATATAACAATAATAAATCAACGCAATTACCAGGCAGTAATTATAATTACTGTAAGATAACTGTTAATATAAGGTTTTAAATACACAGTATTAATAATGCACAATAATACTATATATGTTATGTTTGCAATCGTAAAACATGTTCCAAAAATATTATTGATTACGCTTACAATTTATTCAAAAACTATTTTGACATGTTTAAATAAGCCAAATACAGTTTTTAAATTCATGAGTTCAAGGTACGAAATGATATACTACTCAATCATTTTTTGTACATTTTTTAGTAGCTTTTGATCAAACTTTCTCTTATAAAGTTTTCAAAGTTCCAACTTTGAAAACCTGATTGGATCTGTTTTGTAAGTAGAAAGCTCTTTGTTCTCAAGTTTCTCTTCACTAAGTCATCTTTAATCAGCTTGGCATATTCAGTATTAATTTATTAATCTATTTCTGAATCTTCCAACGATAATTAAAAGCATATGCGCTTCCTAAACCAAATTTGTTGACAGTAAATATAAGTAATTAATTGCCAATTTAAAAGCTAGTAAACAAACTCAAGACTTTATGGGAGATATACTTTATGACTCTCTAAATCAATAGCAATTTTATATTTACGTATTTGACTTTTAACAAACAAGAGGGGTTGGTTAGTTAGTCTATGTTATTAAGCGTATTGTTTGGAAATTTATTTTTCATTTATCGAATAAATCTGTAGTTGATATTTTGGTCGATCAGTGTATTTTCCACTTTTTATTACTGTGTATTTGTTGTACCGTACTTATCTTTTTACTGTGTATAGAATTACATTTCATTCCTATTCCGATGGTTAAGCTTTACGTAGTTGTAGAAAAAAATGAATTTAGAGTCAGAATGCCTATTGTCAATTAAAGTACTGGTTCCTATCAAATCAAAATATACTTTGTTCATTTTATGCACTTGCACATTACATTGGGTCAATAATTTCTATATTATTGTTACAAATTTAACCAATAACTATAGTATTAAAAACAATAACAAGAATATAAACAACAACATTTAAAATACAATGTAATTAAATACAATCATATAGTATTCAGATAATTACTTCAAAAGAGTAAATAAGAGTCCTTTAAAAAAATCTTTAATTGTCTTTTAAATTTAGTTCTGTTTTCCTCTTCCTTTATTTTGTGTGCGAAAATATTATTATTGTACAAGAAAAATGGATTTTTAAATTCTAATTTTGGCTTTTGTATATATAAATGTCTACTGTTGTCTGCTATTGATGTCATAAGTTGTTTTAGGTCTTAATGTTTTCATTGTCGGTCATAATGGTATAAAAAATGTGTTTCCCAACAACTGTCCGATACATCAATTTTCTAGAACCCAAACTAAATAGCATCGTAGGTCATACAGTACCAACAAACTTTCAACAATAACAAAAACTAATTAAACACGATTCCATTGTATGAGTAGTTCATTAATCTCTGTTCTACTAGAACATCAAAATTGGCCGCAGCCGTCGATTTGTATGTGGTGACTACCCAAGTATTTAAAAGTCAATGGTGTAACCATCAGGTGCTTTTGCACATGTGTTTACTGAGTAATTAGACATTATTTTACAGAATGTACTTGGTCTATTAGCTCACTTACAATGGAGCTTTTCACTGTTCTCTTCATGGCACTCACCACTATTCCACGAGATCTTAAGTAAGTCAGTTTAACTGCTTCTTTTTACCAACGAATATTTATTCATACTATTGCTGCAGCAATAATTACAAATTTCGTAAATCCTATAAAAACCAGGTGAAGAATGAATACTTGAGCATAAAAGTAAAGTTCATTGAAGCCTAAAATAATTTGTTTTTTATTTACATCATCAAGTTGTTACATAACAAACTATATTTTATAAACTCAACATAGCAAACATGAAATTTGTAAGTGCAGTGGTCATAATTCGGAACAAATCGTAATACAAATTAAATTTCCAACGATTAAAGAAAAAGTTATTTGCCTAACGAAAAGGCGCTTTTTACATTCTATTGAATCATTTGCGTTTAGTTACAGAATATTTTCGCGATAAACCATTTCGCATGAATTCCAGATTAAATATTCACATCACAGTTGCCTTAAAACATAATTGTTCGATACTATAGCTTTTAAAACTTTCCTGCTATGCTAGCACTACAAAAAGTAACAATTCATAAATTTTGTTATACAGTATAGTTCTCAACTTTAACTATAGTTGAGTTTAGTTATTTAAATTTATTGATTTAGGAATAGTTTGTTGTAGTAAAGTGGTTGCAGATATATTGTAGTTAATATTATAGTAATACACTAGGGTCTGTAATATACCATGCATGTTTTGTTACACGTACTAGCCTATTAGATAAATTTGTTGACACAAATGTTAACTTATGAATTTTAAATATAGGGAATAAGATATTATTACTCTGTGGGTAAGACTGATCTTTTTCATTTTCATGTACCCAGTGACAAAAAACTATTGATTCAAATACTTATACATTATTTCTTAGAACTTGATAAACTTGAGCTTGCAAATCAGCAAGATCAAGTAATAAGAAAGTGTTATGATGTTTTGAATTTTTCAATAAATTTGTATTTTCAAATTTTTACCCTCATAGCATGCAAAGACCAATTTTTCTGTCAGTCATCATGTGGAGCTCAAACAAACAAATAATATTGTACACTGTAGCGTTGTTGTACATTTAAAGGATACAAAGAAAATGAAAAAGGCTGTATTTTCGAAATGTCCATCTTATTCTAAATTCTTATGGAGAAAATATAAATTCTGTAGCTTGATTGTCAAATATATATATTTTTATAACTGGTCAAGTTGATTTATTTTATACAATACTAGCAGTTACCCGGCGCGCGTTGCTGCGCTTAACAACTATTATTGTAAATGGTAATTTGTTCTTTACGATGAATAATAAAAGTGTGTACCAAAAATAAAAATAGAATATTTTACTTAATTGCCAGTGAATAGGGCCTAAACAATTTTTTTTTTGTTTTTTCTATAAGTTTTTAGACGTACCTACCACCACGTGAGCACGCAACATACAGCTGTCCGTGTGAAAAGCATGCATTTTCAAAATTTTAATCCGACGATAGTCAGGGTTTGCCCTAGTGCCTTATAATGGTGATTGGGAAAGAAAGACAAAAAAAGGAAGTTGTAGTTGCTTCAATTAAGAGGGTAATTTGGATGAAGTTATCAGTATTCTTGGGATTAAGACTATTTCTCCTTTTAAGTGGATTTAAGTTTCGCATTAGTATTAATTGAGTTCCTTCTTTTAATGCCAGTAATGGCATTTGAATACCTGAGATAGCACGCACGATTATTATTCACTTAATAATTTATGTTAGATTGTGTGGGTATAGAACAAAAGATAAAAGTATTAAGGCATTACCATCCCTTTTATTGTTTATAATACTTTAATCAAGGTTTTTATGTTTACATATTCAACATTGGAGAATTTAAACGTTGTTGAGTGCACAGGTGTGCTGCGATTGGGGTTTAATATATTTGGACTTATTCAAAAGTAAAATAGTTTTCTGTGCTGCACTCTGTAGAAACATTGTGGCACTATTTCAAATCATGACTAATACAGAACGTTGTGATTATTCAAACCTACAAAACAGTTGGTGAAAGAAAACATCTGCTTTTAAATTATATTTATTTGTAAACATTGTAGTTCAAAAAGTCTGACATTGTCCCACTTAAAACCCTCTGGGGCGGAGCCCTTTTGACGGATCTGCACCAAACTTCACAAAAACCATCCTTGAAAGATGCTTAATAATTCCTGAAAGTTTCATTACAATCTGTCGAGCGGTTTCGGAGTCCATCACGTTCAAACATATATATATATATATATATATATACATACAAACTTCCTCTTTTATAGATATAGACTACATTTTACAAAAAAATACGTTTTCCCTCCCTCTGTAACAACCAAAGCACTTTTAAAACCTAATGTCATGTAAATGGGGAATAAATCCGTCATGGTATTTGTTTAAGGCAAAATTATAGTTAAAATCAAATCAGACAAAGTTAAATCCGCATAATCTGCTGCGGTGGGGGTATTTTCTTATTGGCTTAGGAAATTAGTTACTATACTTTCTGGTAGGCTAACTATGCGGGAGAAGTCTGCTGTGTATTCATACGCAATGTATAAACATTGAGTATACACAGATGAATACACTTTATTCGCTGTATAGTCAATGGTATAAAAGTGTCCTTACTCCATAGGAATTTCCATTTAAAATACAATATTCTAGCTTATTTTTAGACTTTATAATGCTGATAGTCACACCCTATGTGCGTGCCCCCTCAAAAATGCTGGTTTCGGGACGCCTATGCGTTACTGCACCCAAGTATATATTCTACAAAAAAAATTGACTTCTTTGGATGGTACCCAAACATCCACAAGGTTGCATTAAATCCCTGTTTGGTTCAGAATGACCTATGACACAGCGGAGACGATGACCCGAGTCAACTATTGGTCGTGGAAAGATCGTACTGTGTTTCAACTGTTTGATGAAGTTGTGAAACATCAAAAGTACAACATTGCTTTCCGAAGAGGCTTTGACACTTGGTCTTTTCACATGGTAAGATTAAATAATAACTTCATTTGGTACTTATGTGTTTTTGTTTTTAAACCTTAGAAATAAATTGTACAAGCAATCTGACACACACTTTCTCCTATCAGGTTGTCAACAGCCCATACCATGGGTAAGCGGTGGTAGTAGAGTAACTATGTACACCCTATGTATGTTCCAATTGGTTTACAGAATGTATTAATTTATAATATAGCTTTTGTAGTAGGACTAGTGTTTGTCAGCCTTTTGGGTGGTCATGGAGAACAACTCCCAAATCAATATAGATGTAGCTTTATCAAACAAAAGAATAATTCCTCAACAAAATAACAATCCCTCTAAAATATAGTACCGGTAGCAAAACTAACTTAATGGATAGATCTTACTTTTAATTCAGTAGGCTACATGGGGTTGAATTGGCACAACTAATATAGGCTACCTTTCCACCAACAACTGGAACTCGTCCGAAAATTTACCAAAATAATTTAATTTTATGCTAACAATGCTAAACTAAGATTTTATACAATTTACAGTTTGAGCATACAAATTGATTCATGTCAAAAGCAAGTATTTACACATATTTAGTTCAAACAGTTTACATATTAGATACATAAATATTGACCAAGATTCATGAAAAGGATATATTTCTTAGGTAAATATACAAACCTTTATATTTTACAAAATTATACTAGCTATGTGCCCGTTCTACGCACGCGGATCTTATCGTAGTCAGTTGAAACCTTTTATTTTAAGAACAGCAGTTGGTTTGCATATTTTCAGATATGCTGGCAAAACTATTATCTATACTATTATATAAAAATCTAATGGTGTCTGTATGTGTATTACTAATATGTGCAAAAACTACTGAACCAACTGGGCTTAAGTTGTACAAAAATATAGCTACCATACCAAGGACCATTATAGGACTGTTCACATTTCGACACTGACCGTAGGCTTTGCCCCTTTGGCTTTAAACGTTCTGAAGTGAACATTTAAAAAGTAAATATTGATTGGTCTCCATGGCTGTGATGAGAACACTAACAATAATTGTTTACATTTGCTTTGACATATAAATCTAAACAAAAAGAACTGCTACACTGCATATTTCACAATTTCAGACAGCTGATACAAAGAAATTATTAAATACTAGCTGTTGTACCCGTGCTTTGCAACGGGAAGAGGACACAAAATAGAAACATTTTAATCTTTATCTCTTGCATATAATAGTTACACATCCGCCAACGCTTTTAGAAACAAAATTCAACTTTTATGGCCTTAATAGAAACGTTTAAGTTATGACTTTTAAATCTGGTAAGTAGTGGATACTACCATTTTGGTTCTGATTAATTTGCAAATTCTTGTGTAGGCTGATATGAGAAAAACTGACCAAATCTTCGAGTAAAACTTTGACATACATGATTTACCAGATTTACCTTTATCCCCCCTAATTACACATCTTTTAATTTATTATTGACATTTTAAATTTCAATTTTGAAGTTGCAAAAATACTAATTATTAAATTTAAATATCTTTAAATTAAACTCTTCTTTATATTAAATCACAAATCCTTTCATCTTCAGTTTTTTCACTCACAATAAATCATTAGCAAAACTAAGTCAGCTGTTATAAACTTTAGAAATATTGCTGTGCCTTATCAATACAGTCTTTTGAAATATTAAAGAAACTACCCATATCTATAGGTACTATAAAAAAATTCAAACAAATAATTTAGCATTAAAGACAGCAGACAAAACTAATATGATTATCAAAGCATCAAGGACTAAAAAATTTAATAGCAAATAAAGTATATGTTTCATTGCATCTCTGATTCTACTATACAAAAATATCAACAAACAACTTAATATACAAACCAGTTCTTTTAATCAGTCCCATCGTCCATTGCCTTTACATTTTCACACTTACCATTGAGTAAACATAGTAACAGATATTTCATTGATTTTAGAAACAAAAGAACACTGTGTACTGCGGTACTGCTTAGTTTTATGATATTTTCCTGGGTTTAATTTAATCAGTGGTGTGGCAAAACAAAAATAATAAATGTATCAAATAAAGAAAATGTGAACTGAAAGCTATGTTAAGATAAAATAAGAGTATTTTGTATTACCATTTGATAATTAAATATAGTTGCGCATATACAACAGATTTTAGAAAACAAAAATCAACGACAATTTAGTTATTGAAGATATTCTTTAGTTTAATTTAAACATAGGTTTAGCAAAACACAATAACTTAAATTACCTAAATATACATATAAAAAACAATGTGATGTGCAAGTTATGTTAAGTTAACTCAACACATATGAAGCAGTTAGAATTTATTTAAAGTAGCTTCCAAATTCATACAAAACATCTATACATTGTAATTTTCATACTGTTTCCATGAAAACATATCAATAACATTATTTTCACTTAAGATTATTAACTTAAGACGCTTTAAAAAATCCAAAGCAGAGCCGGAGTTGATACAGCAACGGTTATAAAATCTTGTTTTTCCTATAATCACTGACATAGTTTTAGAATAAATAATCCATGATAAAAGGTTAGATTAAAATAAACCGACCACATGAGTTTATGGAAAATATTATATTTAATTTCTTTGTATCAGCTGTCTGAAATTGTGAAATATGCAGTTTAGCAGTTCTTCTTGTTTATATTTAAATGTCAAAGCAAATGTAAACAAACATTGTTAGTGTTCTCATCACAGCCATGGAGACCAATCAATATTTACTTTTAAAATGTTCACCTCAGAACTTTTAAAGCCAAAGGGGCAAAGTCTACGGTCAGTATCGAAATGTGAATAGTTCTATAATGGTCCTTGGTATGGTAGTTATATTATTGTAAAATTTAAGCCCAGTTGGTTCAGTAGTTTTTGCACCTATTAGTAATACACATACAGACACCATTAGATTTTTATATAATAGTATAGATAGATATAGATAGTATAGATAATATTTTCCATAACTATGAGGTAGGTTTATTTTAATCTAACCGTTTATCATGGATTATTTAATCTAAAACTATGTCAATGATTATACAGGGTGGCGCATAAAGAACGCATGGATTTGAGTTGAGTGGTGAGAGATATAGGAGCGTAGTGCAGGGACAGGGCCTGGTTGTTTTGTAGGTTAGGGTGTCCGGATTTAGTAGCAATGGTGCAGTGGTCCGTGGTACATCGGATTTTTGCGGTAGAACATTTATTCAAAAGTAATTAAATCTGTTAAAACTGTTCAACGGCTTTTCTGCACAAAGTTCAATGTTCCGCGAGTCCTGAAAAAAGTACGGTAAGGCCCAAAAATAACGAAAGTTACACCAAACGTTAAGTTTCAAATCGTGCAGTGGTTTTTGATGCAATTCTTTTGGGTCTTCTGCTGCCAAATAGTGCCAGTTTTGCTTATTGACATAACTATCCAAATGAAACTGCGCTCCATCATTAACATCACACACAAAACGCCATCAGTGGCAAGAACATCAACCATTCTCTCAAAACAGTTTCCATTTTCGTAATCACGTTCATAAATCTTCTGTTCGATCATAATTTTGTAAGGATGAAATTTTAACTCGTCTTTCAGGTTGCCCTGCAACGAGCGTCAAGACAAGCACACAGTTGGAGCGCATCGCCTAGTGTAACAGACGCCCTTACTCTGTCGACATTTTGTGGAGTTCGCGCCGTGCAAGGACAACCAAACCACTTCTGCTTCATAACTGATTCAGTTGTGCGAAAAGGAGCTACCCAACAAAGTATTGTGTGTTGCGATCGGGTTTTGTTTTGAACCATTGAACTATGCACGGAGAAGCCATTGAACAGTTATATCAGATTCATTATTTTTGAATAAATGTTCTACAGCAAAAACGTGATGCGTCAGGTTGATTGCACCATTACTACTAAAACTGGACGCCCTAACCTACAAAACAACCAGGCCCTGTCCCTCCACGGACGCTTTTATTGCTCTTACCACTCAACTCAAATCCATGCGTTCTTTATGCGCCACCCAGTAGAAAAAAAATCTATAATCGTTGCTGTATCGACTTTGGCTCTGCTATGGATTTGTTAAAGTGTCTAAGTTATGAAAATAATGTTATTGATATGTTTTAATGGAAACAGTATGAAAATAACAATGTAGAGATGTTTTGAATGAATTTGGAGGCTACTTTAAATCAATTCTAACTGCTTAACATGTGTTAGATTAACTTAACATAACTTGCACATCACATTGTTTTATATATATATATATTTAGGTAAATTAAATTATTGTGTTTTGCCAAACCTATGCATAAATTAAACTAAAGAATATCATCAATAACTAAATTGTACGTCGTTGATTTTAGTTTTCTAAAATCTGTTGTTTATGTATAACTTTATTTAATTATCAAATGGTAATACAACATACTCTTATTTTATCTTAGCATGGCTTTAAGTTCACATTTACTTTATTTGATACATTTATTATTAGTGTTTTGCCACAACACTGATTAAATTAAACCAAGGAAAATATCATAAAACTAAGCAGTACACAGTGTTCTTTTGTTTCTAAAATTAATGAAATATCTGTCACTATGCTTACTTAATGGTAAGTGTGAAAATGTAAAGGCAATGGACGATGGGACAGATTAAAAGAACTGGTTTGTATATTAAGTTGGTTTTTGATATTTTGTAGAGTAGAATCAGAGATGCAATGAAACATATACTGTATTTGCTATTACATTTTTTAGTCCTTGATGCTTTGATAATCGTATTAATCTGTCTGCTGTCTTTAACGCTAAATTATTTGTTTAAAATTTTTTATAGTACCCATAGATATAGTTTCTTTAATATTTAAAAAGACTGTATTGATAAGGCACAAATATTTCTAAAGTTTATAACAGCTGACTTAGTTTTGCTGTGAGTGAAGAAATTGAAGATGGAAGGATTTGTGATTTAAAAAGAAGAGTGAAATTAAAACAAATGTTCATTTAAATTTAATAATTAGTATTTTTGCAACTTCAAAATTTAAA